ATGCCGGGCACAGCCAGGCCACTCGCTCCTTTCCCTCCCTGATCCTTCCCATCAGCCCTGGAATTAACAACCAGAATAGTCTCCATTCTACAAGTGAGGAAGCTAAGCCTCGGAAAGGCCAAGAGACTTGTCAAAGTCCATGGTGAGTGACAGGCAGAGCCAGGATTTGAACCGAGGCTGTCTGCAGTGCCCCCATCTTGGCTCCCTGCCTCCCTGCAGACCCTGCCACTACAGAACTCGCTGTTCAGTGGGGTCACTCTCATCTCTTCACCGTTCTGATAGGGAAGCGGAGGCTATTTTGAATCTCGCCTCTAGCACTGAGGAGCTGTGTGACGGTGACCAAGTCACTTAATCTTTTTGTGTTTCCGTTTCCTCATGGATATAACAAGTATGAAAATAATCAAACTTGCCTCATGGGGTTGTGAAAATTAAACGAGCTAATCGAGAGAGAGAGCAACCAAGGAAAAGGTTTCCTCCTACTATTTTAGGGAAAAAATGAGGGTCTGAACACTCACAGATGTGGCCTTAAACTTTATATAAAGAATATCAAACTCTAGCCTCAGGGACTTGCTTTTCTCACTCAGCACCCTGTGTCTTGACTTCATTCACACGGTTCCGGCGTTTCTGTGATTGCAAACAGCGCCCCTCTGAACGTTCTCAGGCGTGTCTCTGGGGGCACGTCCAAAGCATCTGCTCGGATGGAATCCTGGGAGTGGAATGATTGGGACACAGGGGTGCCAGTGTTCAACAACGAAATGCCAGACCGTTTTTCCGCAATCGACACACACTTGAAGCAACTGACACTCCTACTAGCAATGTCGAGAGTTCCTGTCAACCCCCATCCTTGCCGTCCTTAAACAGTGTCAGATGTTGCACTTTTTACCAAATGGGTAGAAAATAACGTCTCATTGTGGTCTTCATTTCTGTGTCCCTGATCACCAACGAGCTTACTGAGCATCGTGTTTTCTGTCCATAGCTGTTTCGTGTTTTGTGAAATGCCTGTTCGTGCCTTTTGCCTGTTTTTCTCTCAAGCTGTTTATCCTCTTCTTACTGATCCACAGGGGTTCTTGACACCAACCCCGAGTCAGTTATATGTGTCTACATCTCCTCCCAGATATGGCTTGTCCTTTCACTTCCGTTAAGGTGTCTTTTGGCAAACAAAATGATTACTTTTAATGTGGTTCATTGTATCAATCCTTCCATCATAGTTAATACTTTTGTGTGTGTGTTTTACTTAAGAATTCTTTCCCCACCCAGAAGTCAGAAAGATATTAATTTATATGTTCTCCAAACCGTATTCAAGTTGTGCTTTCAACGTGTAAGGCTTTAATCCATCTAGAACTAATCCTGAGTACATCGCAAGGCAGCGATTCACTTGCCTTTTTTCCCCTCATGCAAGACCAGGTTTACCGGCTCCATGTATTGAATAATCCCTCTTGCTCGCTAGTCTGCAGGCTTCTGCTGTCAAATATCATATGACTCCATCAGTTTCTAGATCTCTTTTCCCTTCTTTTGGTCAATCCGTTTATCCCTGTGACAAATTTCCAAACATAGTAAGATGTTTTTTATATTCTTTTGTTATTACTGTCTAACTTTACTGCTTTGAGGTCAAAAAATGGGCTCTGTGTAATATCTCTTCTTTAAAATGTTTTGGAACCTGCTTTCTAAACTAGTATGCAATCAGTTTTTGAAAATGGTCCATAAACATTTGAGAAGAATCTGATTGCGGGATGCAGAAGTCAATTAACGTCCATTAGATCGAGCTTTGTACGCATATTGTTCAAATCTTCTATATCTTGGCCAGTTTTTTTAGTTTTGCTATCAATAATTGAGAGCAGCATTTGAATTTCCCATGCCAATGGTAGATTTGTCAGTTTTTCCCTATTCTCTCAATTTTTTAAAGTTTTATTGAAGTAAATTTACACCTAAAAAAAAAGTCACTTTTTAAATGAGCATTTCTGAACTTTAGTAAAGACAGTTATGTAATCATCACCATTCTCAAAATATATAATATTTTCATCTTCTTCAATATCTCCACTGGTCTATCAGTGGGCACTTAGGTTGATCCCGTATCTTGGCTATTATAAATAACGCTGCAATGAACATAGGGCTGCATATGTCGTTTTCAAATTAGTGTTTTGGATTCCCTTGGAATTTCTGGCTCGTATGGTAATTCTATATTCAATTGTGTGCAAAACCTTCATACTATTTTCCACAGCAGCTGTATCATTTTACGTTCCCTCCAACAGTGCACAAGGATTCCAATTTCTCCACATCCTCCCCAATACTTGTCATTTTCTGTTTGTTTATTTTTTATAGTAGCCATTCTAATGGGTATGAGATAATATCTCATTGTATTTTTGATTTCCATTTCCCTAAAGATTAGCAACGTTGAACATCTTCCATGTGCTTATATATCTTCTTAGGAGAAATGTCTACTCAAGTTTTTTGCCCATTTTTGAATCAGGTTGTTTGGTTTTTGCTGTTGAGTTTTCTGAGTTCTCTGTATATTCTAGACATCAATTCCTTTTAAGACATATAATTTGCAAATGTTTTCTCCCTTTCTGTGGGTTGCCTTTTTACTCTGTGGATAGTGTCTTTTGATGCATAAAACTTTTTAATTTTTATGAAGTCCAATCTGTCTATTTTTTCTTTTGGCTCCTGTGCTTTGGTGTCATATTCCCTAGGAGTATAAATCTGTTGCTTCTTTTTTTCTGCTCTAACTCATGGCAACTCACCTTCCTGTGACTTGGCAAGTTTTGTATTTAAGCTTATCGGTCGATCTTACCCTGCGGGGTTCCTCCTGACCTAAAGTGGGAAAACTTTCTTCTGCACTGAGCTCACTTCTGCGCCTGCCAATAGCAGAGGGCGCCCCAACCCGCGGCCACCTCGGCTCCCAGAAGAGTTTTTCTCAGAACAGGCACGACTTCCCATCTTCCCCGCTCCTAGCTCTCCCAAAGATCACAATCACCGCCTGGCAAAAATCTCTACAGGACTCTGGTCTTGGGACCAGCCGTCCCTCCAGGCGACCAGCCAGTTCAGGCCTGCTCTGTGACACTTTCCCGCTGAGACCTAAGCTCCTTGGCCACTTCTATCCCTTCACTCCCTTTCTGTTTTCTTCATAGCCCATGTCACCAATCATATTTATTTGTTAAATTGCTTGTGTGACACCCTCCCCACACCGGAACGTGATGACTTGTCCATCCTCATATCCTCAGCAACTAGGGCGGTGCCTGGAATACGATGAGTGCCTAACAATGATGTGATAAATGAATGAATGAATGAACGAATGAATGAGCAAAGGAGACGTAGCACCTGTCCCCAAAATGCCCTCCATCTGGCAGCTGGGACAGACAGGGATGCAGACAGTCGTAGTACAGAGAAATAACTGGTGTCGTGAGGAAGGGCAGGGATGGCGGGGTGCAGAGAAGACCCCACCTTAGATTTTGGAGATCAAGGGCAGCTTCCGAGTCCAGGCACAGACAGGTCAGGGGAGGGGACGAAGCAGAAATCTTAAGACTGCGTTGTCACCTTTCCACAAAAGAAAGGGGCTGAGGAACAGTGTTCCGGGCAAAGTGTACAGCTTGTGCCAAGGCCTGGAGGTGAGCAAGTGGTTCAGTGTGGCAGGATCGAGGAGGGCGAGGAAGGAACGGAGGGAGATGGGCTGGAGAAGTGGGCGCAGGCCGGACCACCCCCTCCAGGGCCGGCTGAGCTCCCTGGGGAGTTTGGCGATGAGGAGGGGAGGGTGCGGAAGTGCTTTAGCAGAGAGGGACCCGGTCAGGCTGCAGAGTGGAAAATTCCCTCTGGCTTCTGATTTCCTCAGGGAGGTGCGGCAGGGAGGCCTGTGAGGAGGCTCCGTAAGGAATGGAGGCTGCGTCTGGACCAGGGTAATGGATGGGGAGCGCCACAAGGTAGACCCCTGGAGAGTCCTGGAGGTGACCTTGCCTTTCAGAGAAAACAGCAACAAAGCAGCACAGAGGCTTCTAGTGTGTAGCCCCTGGTTTCTACTTGTCATGCTTCACCAAGCGCCTCCTCGGGGTTCCTGGCCCTGAGCAGGGGTCCCGAGACACCACCTGCTGCACCTTCCTGCTAGCTTGGAGACCCCCGTGAGAGTGGGGCCCGGTGCCCAGCCGGGGAAGCCAGGACCCTGTTGGCAGTGAGGGGAGGGCAGGGAGTCCCAGCTCGCTTGATGTCCCTCATCCTTGCCCCCACATCTAGGCTGGCCATTTCCAGGAAGTGGCCCCAGCCCAGAGCCTGGACCCCAATGGGGCTCAGGGCCACATGCCCGGGGCGTTTCCTGGAACCACCAGACCCATTTCGCATCACCAATGGCCACATCCTCCCCTGGGTAGCCTTGGGCTTGGTAAGGTCTAAGCGGCTAGGCCTGGGCTGGGGGTGAGGAGGGAGGTCCCAGGCAAGGCCCTGCTTCACCTGGCTGCCGAAGCATCCCGGGTCACCGGTCCCCAGGGCTGCCTAAGACAGAGGCTGGAGGTTTCCATGATCCTTCAGCACCCTCATTAGCATGGGAGCCCACCCCGAGGCCTGAGGGCCAAACCAGGGGGACTTGGCTGGGGGCTCACATCACCTTGATAGAGGTTGGGGAACACTCCGCCTGGAGTTGGAATGTGAAAGACACTTCCTCTGTGGGGAAATTGGGGACATTTCATGGAAGATGTGGTAAACGAGCCACATCAGGAATTTAAAGAGAACAGAGGACTGGGAAATTGAGCGTGGAGGCTGCACTGTGTGGGAATATTCCTAAACCAGCAAAGGCCAGCAAAGCTAGAGTACAGGGCACTCTGGGGAAAGTGGGGAGCGGGGGGAAGGTAGCCAAACCGAGGGGGAGCAGAATGTGCCCAGTGAGGTGCTGGGCCTGTGACGTTGAGCAGACCTGGGCTTAGATGGGTTGGCCTTTGAGACTCAGCTGACACTGTTAGTAATAATAGTAAAAATACTAATGATAATAATAATAATGATGATTTATTGAACACTTACTCCGTGCTAAGCCTCTTTACATGGATTGTTTTATTTAACCTTCGAAATAAGTACTACTATTGCCCCTATTTACCGGTGGGAAAACTAGGGCACAGAGAGGTGGAGTGGACTGTCCACATACAGCTGGCAACGGCAGAGCTGGCATTTGAGCCTCGGCAGTTCTGTACGACTCATCGCCTAGCGAAGACCTCTTTGCACGAAGAAATGAACAGAGGGCATAACAAAAGGGATCCACCTCCAACTCCCTCCCTGTGCCGTTCAAAGTCATTAACATCTGTCTGGAAAGGGGCCCTGAGAGCCTGCTCCAGCCCACTGCTCCAGTGCCAGGTATGCCCAGAGCACCAGATCCCAAGAGCCGGAGGAGGCAGCCGTGTTTAGAAAAGAGAGAAATGGCCATATAAACAGTTCTGGCATTCCTCTTGCCAGTCACTCAGCAGGTGCAGCCCTGGAGGCAGGGCCTCTCCATCTGGTGTGTCATGTCCACAGGCAAGGGATAGCAGCATTTCCAGACACCGTTTTTTGTTTATTTTTGTTTTTGGAGCCGATAGCCTCTGAGCACAGGCCAGCAGCGCCCCCTGGTGTGCAGCCTGGGAAAGGCTCTGGCTTCGCGAGTCTTCCACTAAGTCTGACAGACAGGTCAAGGCCCGCGGTGATTCTCTGCGTTTAGAACTCACACTCTCATGCCAACCAAGGGAAATTCACTTCTGCACAGTCATCAAGTGGCCAGGTCACTGAGGCTCAACTGGCTCAGGTGGTGAGGAAAGAGGTGATCCCCTCCCACCCCCAGAAGCCCCATGGCCCAGGCCACCCGTCGAAGTGACCTACGGCGTCTTGGGAGCACTGGAGGGAAGAGGAGCCTCTGGGAAGGACTGGACTTTCGGACCTTTGAGAAAAGTGGCCTTAGAGTTGGGGGTCATCATAAATTGGATTGCGGGGAAGATTTGGGCATAGGCTGGTAAGGTCTCAGACACTGGGCGGGTCTCTAAGCACTGGGCGCTGGGCCAGGGTGTGGCCCAGAGGAAGGTGGCAGGGCCCAGCAGGCTGGCGGGAACCCCACCCCCAGCAGGCAGGTAGAGTTAATGGGTCCCACTGTGACTCTCCTCCCTGGTCTTATTTGGCTTCACAAAGCTCTTGGGCTAGGCAGGACCAAAGCCATCTGCCCTATGTCACAGATGAGGAAAGCCAGGGTCACTGAAAACTGATAGGTCAAAAGTCATACAGTAGGACTCAGAGCCAGACCTTGAAACATGGCCTCCTGACTCCTAGGCCAGTGCTCTGCCCATAGGCCTGGCTGGCCAGCTAGGCCCAGACACCGGGGTGAAGCTTGCTGTCCCCTGGTGGGGTCAGACCAACCCCAGAGCAGAATGCCAGGCGAGGACGAGCAAAACCTTGCCCTCTGGGCCCAGACAACCCACGGAAGTGCAAAGCTTCCCTGGAGGGCACAGTGGCCTCCGATGTCTACCTTCTCTAGTGGAAGCCAGGGCCTTGGCTGCAGGCAGCCAGAGGAGCTAGGCGCTCTGGGCCAGGAAGCCGACTACTGCGTCTGGGAGGAGCTGAATGCCTCCATCTCCGCCTCCACCTCTGCCTCCGAGCGGCACTTCTGGAAGCAGAACCACAGGAAGAGGAAGAAACCTGCAAGCAAAAGGCTGGTCAGTAGGCGCATCACAGGAGCGGCGTGAGGCCTCTCCCAGTATCGGGGCACCTCTTTGGATGGGGTGAGCTGGGCCTTCCTGAGGCCCAGGAGTAATTCTCAGCATCCCTTACTTTTGGAGGCCGGAGGAGCAGAACATAGGAGCAGGAGGGCCCGGCCGCCGCTAGCCCAGAGGGTGCCTTCGTGCAGATCGCAAGGCAGTGCCCCTTCCTCTGGACGGATGCAGCCCCTAAGCAGCTTGTTAGGGGCTGGATTTCCGCCCCCAACCTGAACAGCAGTAAACATCTGCCAGCTGTGCACGACACCCAGGGGGCTTCCTCCAGGCCACCCACAAGACCCACCGTAGAGCGAGTTGAAGATGGTGAAGAGGAAGAGCTGGGGCAGCAGGAAGACGCCAAAGGAGAAGAAGGCCAAGGCCCAGGAGGTGCCCAGCAGCACGGTGAGGCCCAGCACGGTGACAGTGTCCCGGCAGGCGCGGGTGCCTGGCACCTTCTTCCGGGCCTTCAGTTTGTGTAAGGCCCGCAGCGCCCAGGCCAGCACCACCAGGTTGAAAAGGGAGGTGAGGCCACCATAGCCCATGACCAGGATGCTGTGCACCTCAGGGCTCCGCACCCAGCATCTGCAGGGGAAACGCAAAGTGCCAAGGTCAGGGTGACTCCCAAGGCCGGGGAAAGCCACTGGCTCCTGGGCCTCTGGACCGCCTCTTGAACCAGGTCCAGTCTCCCAGCTCAGACCTGTTGTTTCTTGCTTACTGTACATATGGTGAAGTCCTGGGTCCAGCCAGGCCACCACAACAGGACACACCTGCCACCTTGACCCCCTGCCTGCAGCCCCTGCATGTCCCCTTTCTAGCCCTTTGCCTCCCCAAGACACCTCCATGACAGGTACCACCTTTTACCCAGTCAGACACTGTGTCACGTGCTTTCTGTGGATTAGCCTGTTTCATTCGCTTGATGACCTTCTGAGGCAGGTATGTAATCATCCCCAACCTAAAGTTGGGGAAACTGAGGCTCTGGCTTAGGAACATGTACTAGTAAGAGGCAAAGGTGTCACCTGAAGCCCTGTGGTCTGGGCCCAGAGCCTGTGTCCCTAACTGTCACAATTACCTGCTCGGGCTCCTGCCACTGCAGTCACAAGGGTCACTGAACATTATTTTGGGACTTCATTCAAGTTCATGAGTGTGGTCACAGATCATCCTTTTTCACTGCCAGCTCACTGTCTAGCAGGGATGGCTCTGCCCACAGCCAGTGCCCTGCCTACAGGACACTCTGGCAAGGAGCCTGCTGCAGCCCTGCGCACACTCACATGGACACGTTCTGGAGGCCCGTGCCATTTCTCTGGCTGTCGGAGAGTGGGATCACGTGACGGCCGTAAGCTGAGCTCTTGACAGCAAGGAGGAGCAGCACCAAGAAGGCTGGGACCCCTGTGGAGCGGGATAGAGGCTCAGCACCTGTCAGGAGGCCTCAGGGACAGGCTGGTCATGGGTTCCTGGGGCTGCCGAGACAGAATTCCACTGGGCAAGCGGGGTAGGGAAAAGAATGTTCTGAGCCCCCAGCCCCTGTGATCCAGCTTCAGAGGAATTGGCCTGGTGGTCTTAGAGAAGGTTGTTCTCCAAGGTGACGTGAGTGAGGGCTCTAGGGTGGGACAGTGGTGGCAGCAGTAGTGATCACATGCAGGAGGTGGTGGCTAGAATCTAATATGAGACAGGGTTGGGGAACTGATGAGGAAACAGATAATAAAGAGAGAAATTAGGACGGTGATAGAGATAATAATGATGGTGGTGCCAAAGGTGGTGGTGAAGATGAGGATGAAGATGGTGGTGATGATGGCGGTGGTGGTGGGGATGTAGTGAAAGTGGTGTTGGAGGTGACAGTGATGGTGGTGATGGAGGTGACGGTGATGGAGGTGATGGAGGTGATGGTGATGGAGGTGATGGTGATGGAGGTGATGGTGATGGAGGTGATGGAGGTGATGGTGGTGATGGAGGTGCTGGTGATGGAGGTGATGGTGATCGAGGTGATGGTGATGGAGGTGACGGTGATGGAGGTGATGGTGTTGGAGGTGATGGTGGAGGTGATGGAGATGTTGGAAGTGATGGTGGAAGTGATGGAGGTGATGGCGGTATTGGAGGTGATGGTCATGGAGGTGATGGAGGTGATGGTGATGGAGGTGATGG